ATTATTAAACAAAATAATCAAATAGTATTATTTGCTAATTTTATTTTTATCTCAAGTTTTAGAAATAGTTTGACTATTCACAAAGTACTTATAATATGAATATTTAATTATTCTACTTTTTAACTTCAATCTTTCTAAAACTTTATTTTTAATAAAAAATCTTTCTTTAATGATAAATATTTTTTCTGATTCTTATATTTATTTTACTTTTATTTATCAGTCTTTGATTTTATTTTGAAATAAAATCATTGAAAAATTATTTAATATATTTATTTTAATATTAATTCAGATGAATAAGTTATCAAAATATTGAGGATATTCATATTTGAAAGTTAGTAATTTATAATAATACTAATATTCTGTAGTAAATCTTCTCTAATTAAAAGTCTATTAAGAACTTTGATAATGAGTTTATTGAAACTTTTCTTTTAATTTCAAGTATTCTTTTTAAATAAGAGTATTATTTTTAACTTGTACTTCTTCTTTAAAGATCTTAATATTTCTGACTTTAGAAATTGAGTTTATTATTGTATAAAAACTTTTTCAAAATCTATATTAGTTATTATATAAATCTGAGTTCAAGATTTATTAGATGTCCAATAAAGAAAATTATAATTTTCTAAGTCTTGATCTTCAATCTCAAACTTATTATCAGTAATTTTACTTGAGAATATTTTAGAGTTATTATTACTTTTTTCTAATTAAGTATTTTATTATTCATGAATGAATTTGATTGATACTCTTTTTTCTTCTCTATTCTAATCAAAGATTATAATATTTTTTTAAGATTGATTTTAGCATTAATTTTATTTAATCAGTCTATTCTTATAATAAGACTATAAATTTGAGCTTTTATAATATTTACTTCTGCTAAAATTATAATTTTATTAATAGTAATAAGAAAGTTATTAATTATTTCAAGTAGTTATTTTAAATATTCATTAATATTAGATATAGAGATGTTAGATTTTTGTTATATTTTTATTCTAAGTTACTTGAGAAATTTATGACTGATAATATATTCTAATGCTTTAGTATTTATAATTAAATTTATAGAAGTCTTGTTAATCTTAGCTTTATATTAGACTAAGATAGTTTTAATCTTTTGGATAAATACTACTTTTTGTTTGAATTTTTTTTGTAATTTCTTTTTATTTCTTTTGATATTTGAATTCTTTATTCTGATAATATTTTGATAAGTTAGACAATGATAATATTAATATTTTGAGAGATCAAATCTTTAAGTATATCATATATTTTTGCTTTCTTTATAAGGATTGGAAGATATATTCTTTCTTTCTTTTATTTCTTTTTCTTCAGATTAATCTTGTCTTCTTTAGAAACTTCAGATAAAGGTTAAGTAACTTTATTTTCTTTCTTACTTTCTTCTTTTTCTTTGATGATTCTTGTTTGTTTTCTTTTTCTAGCTAAATAATCATAAGTTATTAATAAAGAAAAACTAGATCACTTGATGAATCACTAGTAGATACTTATAAAACTGCTATCAGATTCTGAATTTGGATCAAAAGAGAAGTAGTATCTAGAATTTGAGAATTATTAGATTGTTAATTATTATTTTGAATATTCTAATTTTATTAATTATTATTATTATTATTATTATTTTGATTTTAATTCTTTTAGTTTTGAGAAATATTTTAGTTATTAGATTATTGATTTTCAGATTGAGAAACAGTTGGATATACTCTATTTACATATTTTTTTTCACAACTATAATAGATAATATTGAATTTATCTCTTAACTGATTTTATTATTGATTATTATTATTATTTTGATTATTATATCTTTTATCAGATTCTATATAGTTTTATTCTTTACTCTATTTAAGAAGATAAATACTAGAAGTTAAAGTATATATTAAATCAGGTTTGAACTTTTTTTATTTGATATTTTTCAGATTTTAAGCTAAAAACTAATTATTTTTATAGATAAAGCTCATACATCAAGTAATATCAATATTTAAGATACTATACTTTAGATATATTCTTTCAATTAATCTATTAATTATAATACTATGATAGTAGATATACTAATCATGAAAAAATAAATTTAAATTCTGAAAATGCATAATTTAAGATATATAACAATTAATATATTGATAAAAATAGAGAAAGATATATATAATTAATACTATTTTCTGACTATTATTTAATTAAAAAACTAAAGAGATCAATTTAAAGATATTAAACAAATACTTATGAAATATAATCTTTGATTATCAAAAAAAATTTATTTGATATATAAGAAATATTTAGAGAAATATGATGATCTGATAAGATTGAATTATTATATACAAAAATTTTGTTATTCTAGTCTAATTTTCATAAATAATAATTAATATTACATAAAGTAATTATAAATACAGAATATATCTTTAAATATTATTCAAAATTTCATTATAAATATAATTTTATAAAATAATACTAGAGATTTTTAAAGTGAAAAACCAAATATCTATAACTATAATTATATATGCTTATTGAATCAGATTTCTGAAATTCTTAATAGCATATCCATAATTACAATTCACAAATTCATATATAAGTCATGAAGATATATAGATATATATAATAAAGGGTTGGAGAATAAAATTGCTAAGCCATAAGTAAATTTAAATTGCATAGGTAATTATCAGAAAATATTAAGAGAATAATAGAAATTGAGTATAAGAAAGTAAATATGAGAAAAGAAGAAAATGAATAAATATTAATCATTTATAATAGCAAAGTAAACATGAGAAGAAAAGATAATAAATAAATATTAATAGTGATAACTTATTGTTATAATGTATCAATTGTATAATAATTGAATTAAACCTATCATTAAAATATAAATTAGCATATCACGTGTATATATATTTCATATGATATACTAATTTACATTGCATATAGCAATTTGAAACAAAATTTTGAGTTAAGACTTCTGGCACCATATAAATTTCAGAATATTAATAATATGATATTAGTATTGTTAAATAAGTATTGGATAAAAAAATTCAAATTTATCTTCATCAATTACTAAAGATAATAAAATCTGAGATTTAGCAGAATATTATAAATTTGATAGCAAATTCAGATATTATTAAAAGATATTGCAAAAAGATTATGATTAAGAAATAAGACCATTCTTAGCAATTTCTCATCTAAGTCTTTATCTGGATCTCTGAATTTGATTCTAATATGAGCTTGATAAATATATATCAAAAACAAAGAAATAGAATTAATTTTTTTGAATGATCTTTCCAGAAGACTATCACAATTTTTTTTAGATAATTCCAGTAGAGTCTTGATTTGAATTTGAAAATAAATTAATATTATATAATAAATATTAAAATGAAGATTTGGTTATCTATAATAGATTTGTTTCTAATCTTGGAAAAAGATAAAGTCGCACCTGGGTTGATATCGCCTATTGTCATTGCCTATTCTTTCGCAAATATCGAATACCCTGCCGACACATCTTCTACGAGCACATGTACGGCACCAGGAAACTTTTAACCATTAATGCCTAGAGTCAATTTCAGCAAATTTTTAAAGAGAGCGGATTCAAAATTTACGAGCATCATGATGATGCACTATTAAGGGCGCAGACATCGGAAAAAACCTGCAAGAGCAGCAGAGGGTCGACGACGAACTGTAAATGAGTTAATGGAAAGAACACGTGATTTTTATTGGAGGATTGAAGAGAGGGGAGCATCGAACAAACGGTATCATTTATTGAAAATTTATGAACAAATTTAGAGTCTCTCTTAAATTGAATGTTGTTTTTACGCTTTATTTAAGTATAATTGTTGTATTATGACAATTATTATTTTAAGAATTAAGGTTATTTTAAGTACAATTTTTTTAAGCAAATAACTTATTATATTCATGCACATCCAGCGACCACTGATCGAAGATGTATAACTTTAATCGTTTATTATATTTCGACGATTGTAAAAGTTTTATCTCAATTAGCAATGATTTTATTTCTAATCTATAATTTCCTTCGACGAAGACTACTTACATAGTTGTGACGAATCACTTTGAGTGATCTTTATCGCCTCTTCATTGCGTAATTACTATTGTCCAACTTCCGCCCCCAATTCACTAATCTGGATCTTCGTTTATTTTGTTCATTTTTTGTAAATGAACATTATCGTCTATGTACCCCTCCATCACACGATCATAATATCGAATTTAGCGTGCCGTGTATATAGTTAGAATACTTTTTTAAAAAAATTACCTTTGATTTTGCAGCCACATAGTGAATTTGACTGATTTTAGGGAGCAAACAGCGAAACGAAAAAATAATGGACTTGTTAGCGAGTGTAGAGTGGTGAATAGCGTATTGGATGATTAGCGAGTAATAAGGAAGGGGAGAATTTATTATAGTGATTAAAATAATAAGGAAGTAGGAAAGTTTATTTTTTGTTCAGCGCCATGCAAAATTACACACTCTTTGTTGATAATTAGATCCAAATTTATCTAAGGGGGAGTTACGTCATTGATTAAGCCACTGATCAGTGTTAGTATATTAACATCACATCGCAGCAACACATCTTTCTATCAACAAACAAAAAATGGCAACTACTCAAGAATTGAGAGAAGAGTTGACAAAGGCAGAAGCGCAGCTGTTGAAGGCAAAGAACGAATTGCAGGCGTTCAGGGAAGGGAGATATGGACAGAGGCTTGCAGAGTTGAAAATGAAGTTGCGGAGAGGAGAAGGAACTGCGGCGCAGCGGCAAAAATGGGAGAAGGAGAAGGACGAGCTGGCTGCGAAGGAGAAGAGACTGGAGGAGAGGAGGGAGAGGTGGGAAAAGGCTGTAATGGATTGGGGGAAGAAGTTACATGAGATGGACACTCAGCCAGGTACGACTTTGTGATTCCTTCAATACACCACACCTACTCACAAAAGGCGTTATATTCTTAAGAAACATGGAAATAACTATCTATTGTTTTTTCTTTACTGCTATCAAACGCGAAAAAAAAATAACCAACTTATGTGTACTATCTCCGCCATATTAGTAACACCGAAAGGTAAGTTCCAATTTTCCTAATTTTTCTTTTTTCTCTTCTGTTCTTGTTCTTACGCCCCCATAATATCTTAGATATTACTCCTGAAATAATGAAACAATTAGTTCAAAGCCCTGGTCAACTTCCTCACAAATCCGACTTAGCAAATTTCCTTAACGAAAATCCTCCTGTAAAAATACCGCTTTCCCCTAATCATTTTTTCCAATTTAATACAAGTCTGATAACTAGAGAGGAACGAGATACATATTTTGAACTAAGTACAGAAGTGGATTGTACATTACTTTATTCAAGACTTATAGGGCAGTTAATTTACCCTGCTTCATATGGAATAACAGAAAACTCGTATCATTATTTGTGGGATAGTATTATTAAAAATACGATAGAGATGTTTGGAAAGCATAACGCGAGTTTGCCAATACTGGAATTTTATCGCAATACTAGCTCAACAGGTAAATTAAGTAGTAGCGAATAATTAGTATAATTTTTATTAACAAAAAATTCATAGGTCCAGATATGGTTGTATTAGTAAGAAATACTTGTCTTTTTCGAGGTGAAGAAAAGTCTCGCGAAGAAGCAGGAGATCCTTCAAGAGAATTAGTGGATAAATTCAATGATTGGACCTATGGAGATGCACCATACATCTTTGCATATTATGCTGTTGGTGTCCATGTCACATTTGTTATTTTGCATAAGCCTGAAAATAAGTCGACTAAAAAGAGAAAACTGAGCGTTTATTCTGAACGGATTGCAGAATTTGATTTAGAGCGTTTGCCGGATAGAATTCGCATCATGAATTTCCTTC